AGAAAGGCGCTTTCGTGCCTCAGCACTGCCTGTGCCTCTCAGGAAAGCTCTGTTGTAAGGGCGTGGAGGGGGTCCTTAAAGAGAAGGAGCCCCAATCGGGCCAGTGGGCCAGGATTGTTGCCTGCTCACCAGGCGGGTTTGTAGCAGATACAGTAGGAAGCTGACTTTCGTAAGGATCTGTGAGCTTCTTGAAAATGGTGGGTTAAAATCATGGCAATTCACAGATAGTGCATTTTTGACAGAATAAGTCAGAACTGGATTTAGATTTTTTTTACTGAGGGGTTTCTTTGCCCTAAAAGTTTAAAAAAGGAAGGCAGGTTTACATGATCATCTTTCACTTTATTTTTGTAGCCCCAGCATCTCAAACATACTCTCCAATGGCCACTGCAGCTTTGCAAACTTCACCCAGGGAAGTTAACTTTCTGCTTTAGATCTGGACAGTCACAGACCCTTCCAAGCCTTCTCCTGGAGCGCTCTAGAGTATCCAGGACTCTCCTGGGACTCAGAAGCCTTGCCAATTTGGCTGGGAAGACAAGCCCAGTGCCCCTCTGCAGGCAGCTCAGGCTGGTCCTAGCCAGGGCGCTGTAGGACAGCCAAATGGGCTTCTAGGCTGGATGGGATCCAGAAGCCTGCACGTGCCAATCAAGGTTACAAAAGTCAGCTTGGTACTACATCTGCTACAAAAGGCCACCCCTGGGAAAGAGTGGAGGCGCTGGATGAACTCTATCAGCATCACAGAGACTGTGGCTTTGGCACTGGGGTTTCCGCAGATGTTTGTGTTTCTCCATTATGACTACCCCCTTGCAATAAAACAGATAGGATACTGAGTTTGAGTTATTTCTTGCTTTGAAAAAAAAAAGAAAAAGAAAAAGAGTGTACACATGTTTGGAAGTCCATCTCTGGCCCAGGATCTCTGTCCCACCCCCACCAGAACTTCCTGAGCAGGGAACCACAAGAGAGCCTGCAGTATGCTACAGGGAAGACTGGCCTGATGCAGCCCAGCTAAAACTGAGGATATAATGTAGCAGAAGCTCAAGTCAAACACTACCAAGTGCCTCCTTCAGTTGGTCTGGAGCTCCCGGTATTCCCGACCACCCCCCAGTGCTCCAGTGCCTCCTTAGACTGCAACAATGAGGTGTTAGCCTCCTCAATAAAATATTCCACTTATCGATCGCCTTGGCTGAGGTTCCCCATTCCCAGGAGATTAAGAAAAGGGATTCAACTGTCCTGTGGGTCGGCTTCCACCCACTCTCTGCCTCTTGCTCCTTTGCCATTTGCGTTCTTTCCCTTTTCACCCTTCCTTCCAACTGCTGACTTCTTTTTTCTCCCTCAGAATGTCTTTGACTTAAAACTCTTGGTGCCTGCTTGCCTCAACCAAGCTTGTGCAGCGGCTACAGGGTTACACACACTGCCGCTACAGCCTGGGTCTTACTGGGGAGTAAATATTGCCCATTTCTACCTGGCGATAAACACACTCCCTTCGTGGAGCCAGAATAAATCCCAGACCTGCGCCTTCTAGAGAGCTACTCTGCATTTCACTGGATAGCAGATTACTCTTTCTGAGTAGGCCCGTGCAAGCATGAGAAGTAAATTGTTATGAAAAGTTGTGGGGTTTTTTGTGGTTTTTTTGAGGGGAAAAACCCCGTTGGTCCTGAGATTGAGATAGCTAGTAAACAGTTTGTATCTGGAGGTCATTCTCAATGTTTTCTGCACTCTGAATTATCCAGAGGATTGTAGGATTAGGCTGCAGCTCCAGAGAGGAAAAATTAATACTGCTTCCTTATATTTGGCATTAACAAAATGTCAGGGCTTCTCCCAATGCCGAATTTATGAATAACTAAAAAATTTTTCCATAAGCAATAACGTTCTTTTCCTGTTCATCTTTAAGAACATCAATATTTCCAGAGATATTTGATATATCTGCTTTGAATAGATCAGGTGCAATCTATTCTTTTAAAAAGCAAAATTTTTTCTAAATCCAATGATTTGAGTAGGTTTTTTTCCCCTGCCTTCATGGCAGGAATGTTGAGGCTTTTTCACACACCCCTTGAATTTGCAATATTCTTAGTTTTGTTCATAAGACACAGTGTGAAACCAAGGCAGCTGTGGAATTGTAGAGAGGACTCGGAACAGCTTACGGAGTGGGCACTCATTCCTTCTCATGACTGCCTTTTTTCTGGCATCGTTTGGAAGCCTATATTCAACAAAGCAAATTTACACACACACACACACACACACACACACACACACAACACACATGCAGAGGCAGCACCTACTTTCTCTGGGATTCCCTTTTTTGGCCCGTGAACTGTATATTTGAGGAAAGAAAATAACCATTTCAAGAAACGAATTAAAAATATTGAAGTAAAATCTTAAATATGAGAGAAAGAGGCTATTTTAATCTGGCCTCCAAAAGATAAGCATTTTGACCATTTGAGACTTATTTTATGACAGCCCTGAAGGAGTAGTTGCTGAATCAGACTACCCTTCACGCTCCTTTTGAAAATGTATAGCTATGTACTGATGCGACGCGTTTTTGCATATTTGCAAAATACTCTAAAATCTCACTTTCATATCTAAAAAATTGCTGCAAAATGCCAGCCGGGTTTATAACGATACATTCCAAATATGCAATGCCGAGACTTTTCCTGCAGCACTCAAAAATCAAATGCGACTTCTCCGAATTGGCCTTTTTTGGGAACAAAGGTTTCCCCCAGGCTGCTGGGCAGACCTCCGGACTGCACCTCATAGGAAACCAGTAACCTCCGGCTGTTTGCCCCAAGGAATAAGCCAGCTCCGCCCGCCACGAATGCCGACTTCCCCATTGTTTGGAGTAGAAACTTTGTTTTTCCTACTCCTGCCATCTTTTTTTTCTCTCCCCACAAACCCCCTTATCCCAGCACAGATGGAACACGTTCCTCTAGATGCCTCCCATCCCCAACTCTTTCAATTCTGAGTATTTCCACAAAATCCAAAGATCGCCTTGGCCGAGATGCCTGGTGTAAAACGCTGGCACACGGAGCTAAAATCTGCAACTTTTCCACTTAGGCCTCTCCAACATTAGGGAGCGATGGGAGACGGGGAGGATGAATGCCTACCTCGTCACCCCCACACACCTAACTCTGCGTAGATCTCGGTCACCTCTCCACTCCCACCCCTACCACAACGAAATTGCTAAACTTGGGGCGTCTTACCTTGACACATTTCCGAAATTACTGCCAAGGGGCAGCTGGATTCTCCACGCCGCGATGCCCGCGAGGCCTAGCGAAGGCGCGTTGTTTTAAATTACAACACCGATCGCTTCTTGAGCGTGAGCTCCCCCCACCCCCACCTTTTTGATACGAAAGGGAGTGGGACAAGTGAAATAATGTACCGTGCTGCTCTTAGTATCAGAAGCGAACAAAGGCCAAGAATCACGCTGGGGTTCCCGGCTCCCCGGCGGCTTTGACATTGATCGGAAGTGCGCCATCTCGTGGCGGCTGCGCGCCTAGGCCCGGCTGGAGCTCCAGCCTGGAACCCAGAGAGGGAAGCCGGCTCTGGATAGAGAGACAGGGAGAGAATGTGCCCTGCCCGCTGCTATTGAGATCTCATTTTTACATCTAAGAAATTGCTGCAAAACTCCAGCCGGGTTTATAGCGGCGCATTCCAAATATGCAAATTGGCCTGCCCGGGACGGGTTTACGACCACATTGTCACAGCCATCGGAGGATGGGCTTTTATAGGGCTCAGAAATCAAACCCGCGCCCGCCCGCCGCCCGCCCGCGAGCAGTTCTCCTGGCTAGACTCTCTCTAGCAACTTGAGAGACTTTGGTTAATCTTTAACCATCCCAAAGGAAGTCTTTCCCTAAACCCGGACTTTCCTGCCCGCCCCCTTCAGCCCCCAAGGAGGGCTCTTGTTCGTCTCTGCATGTCTGTCTATCAACTTAGGCATTCATCTCGGGGTCTGTCCTGCTCCCCTTTCAGCTCGGTTTCCCCTGTTGAGCTAGTTAGACAAACACACAAACAAATAAACAGAGTGGGGGCTGGGGCCTGGGGCCTCTCTCCAAATGCGACCCTCTTTTGCTGCTTTGGCCCTGCTTGGGTGGTTGCAGAGAGGGTGGGGTGGGCAACAAAAGGCTCTGTCTTTTCCGCCCTGCCCCTCAAGGTTATGGGTGATGTCCAAATTTAAGGCAGAAGTTCAAAGGCAGCAAACAAAGAGGGAACGGCATCTTTCTTTCCCCAAAGGGAAAACACTTGCCTCAGCTAGGACCTGGGGAGAAAGAACACTTAAAGACTCCTTGACAGTCTGTTCTGTCTTGGTACCCAAACTGAGCTCTTTCTGCTGACAGGGAGTCCAGGGCCATCCCAGAGGGATTCTACTCAGGCCTCCCAGTAAGGATATGAACAAGGGCAGCCTGGGGTCAGAACTGTTGGCCCACTGTAGGCCCCAAACTTCTACCAGGTTTGAGGTCAGTGTGAGGGGATGAAGTCTCACATTCTAGGACTCTAGGAAGTCCCATCCCTAGGACTCCACTTTGCAGAAGGACATGGCTAATCTTGGTTTCCCAAGCTTGGCTTCTATTGTAGCTAAATCCTTACTCAGTCACCTCTTCACCTCATTAGGGGCCTGGTAACTTGCCCCTTTACCAGTAAAAGGATGTTGGGGAGGGGAGACATTTGGCAGTAAGCAGGGAGAGGAATGTCACACCAGACTCGATACTCAAGTTTCCTGTCTTTATTTTCTGTGTGCCCTGTCGTCTGCATGTATGCTGCCACATATACCGTGGGTAAGAACCACGGACAGGCCAACACTCCCATTACAAACAGAGCCACCAGACATTTCTTAACTCAGGAGGCAGAAGAAATTCAAAAGGAGGATTCCTGACTTTCCTGATGAGATCCCACGATTTGGCTGGCTTAACTACCTCCAAGAAAGGCCCTTCTCAACACTCTTCCGGCCCCTCCAACGTCCCAAAGAAATCAACTAATGGCAGAAAAAAAAAGTATCGAAACAAATTAGGTTATGTTTCCTTTATTTACAAGTCTTTTGAACACCATCCCTGTATGAAGCGTACATTCAAATATTCTTAGCAGTGAGCGAGTTTAACCGTGGAACACTGTAAACAGATAGAGCCTTTAAATATTTTCATCATCTCCCCCCCCCTCTACATTGCATCTTTTAAAATTCGCTTTGGTTCCTTCAGGGAAATATATATATATAATATAATATTTATCTTTTAAAATAATTCCAAATCACTCTCAGTTTCTTGGAAGGTGGCCGGAAGCTTCCAAGCTTAGTTCTGAGCCAATGAGGGCAAAGTTCGGCACCAGAACCGGGGCTTTTGGGGGAACTCCAGCCCCTTATAGCCATAGCTGAGGACCCACTGACCAGGCCCGTTGTTCTGTTGCCTGACATCGAACAAATCCAAGTTTTATTAAATGTGGTGGAGACTTTGCCAAACTGCCGCACTCCACAGGCATTTCCTGCAGAGATGGAGGGACCAGCGGCCTGGGCGCACAGCCTCTGGATTTTTCAATGTCTTCCACCTCAGGGAACCGGTGGCTTTGCGACCAGGTTTTAGGCCTGAGTGGCAGGCTGGAATGAAGATCTTCATTTGAGAGGAAGAAAATCCAGGTGGGCTGTAGAAGGTGGCCACTAGGAGCTTAGGATGGGACAGCGGTGGGTAGTTAGGAGGGGTGGAAAGACAGCAATGCCACCTGAATAGTAGACTTCTCTTCCCTCAAGGTTCCGAAGCCTTCTCCCATCTCACAGCCTCCTCTTAGTCCAACTGTCTTTCACATTGCCTTTGGAAAGCAGCCCCGCTCGGGGCATCTGGGAATCCTTCCTTTCCTCCTGCCCTTCTCCCCAAGTGGAACTGGGCTTGGACTGCAGATGGTTGACTTAGGAGTCCTGGGGGTGGGCAAGCTCTGTGAGGAGGGTCCTGGGGGGGGGCTCCAGGGGGCCTGGCAGGAGGCCCAGTCCCCAGTGGAGACCACACCCAGCCCTAATATCTGCAGGCTCCTAGAGTGAACCACCAGGGGTCCCAAACCATTCATTCTAGTTGATGCACAACTCTCAGAATCCAATTACTAATAGGAATTTTAGCCGTGGAGATCTTAACCAAGAGAGTTCCAGACCCTCTCCTATTGGGTTATCTTTGTGTATCCTCTTCTCTCTTGTACACTTTTTTTTTTCAAAAGTCACCATGTGGTGTGACCTTGTCAAGGGCAAAATCTGCGTATCATCTCACATGTACGAAGCCCCCCCACCCAATTCCAGCCGGCTGGACCCTTAGAGGAGCGGGTTAGCTGAGTAGTACTGTAAACGGTCCCTATTAATTTTTTTTTCCTTCATTCTTCTGTTCTGAAACCAGATTTTGACTTGACGGTCAGTGAGGTTAAGCATGCGGGATAGTTGCAGGCGCTTCTCTTTGTTGATGTAGACACTGAAGAAGAATTCTCGCTCCAGCTCTCGGATCTGGTATTTGGTGTAGGGACAGCGCTTTTTGCGGGTGCGTTGACCACCTATGCAGGGAGAAAGGAAAGGTATGGGGGTTACAATCCACCCCAAAGCTCCAAGTTGAGGAAAAGAGCTGGCCACAGACAGACACAGAAGGCCCAACCAGATCCCCTTCAAGGTCTCTCCAGGCCCCTGCCCTCAGGCTCCTGCCCTCAGGCTCCTACTGCCGACTGGGGACAAGCTGTTGTCGGAGCTCAGCCTCAGATAAAAGCCAGCTCCCTAGATAGGCCCCCGGGGAAGGTGCTCTGGCTGCCCCCTGAGCAGAAACGAGGGCTCCTCACAGCAACAGGCGAATTTGCGCTGCCTAAAGGGCTTTGAAAGCAGCCGAGTGGGGGGTTGCTGACTGCCTCTCGCCCCGCCAGACTAAACAAACAGCCGCCTGCGGACATTTCACCTTCAGCACCTGGGCCTCCTGTTCCAGAGGCAGTAAATGTGCCCAGGCCCCAGACTTTCCCGGTTGCGGCCATGATTCCGCCATCGTTAACATCTGGAGCTGCAGCGGGTCTTTGTCAGCCTGAGTCCTGGCCACCAGCTCCTATCTCCTTGGCTAACCTCCTGACTTCCTCGAGGTGGGAGGTGGCAGCGGAAGCCCCCTACCCTGGGCTTTCACTGAGCACCGCCACCCCACAGCCAGGGGGCCCTTGGCAGGGCAGGGGATGCTATTTTAGGTAGGGTGGAGGGTAGGGCGGCTTCTCGAAGCCACAGGCAGTATCTACTTGCTTTCCCGTTAAAACAACAACAAACACACATACAATACTCAACCTTCCCCCCCAAAAAAAGTTCGCTTTTGACAGATTTAATAACAATTGTGAAAAACATGCTCTTGGACAGAAGACGCACGTAATTGCCACCGCGCCAGAGGAAAATGGCTTCCTTTGGACAAAAAGGCCAACTTTGGGTTAATTTGTTTCTTTTAATATATTGCTCTAGCTAAGCGGGCTACTTTATCTGTTAAATGCACTCTTAGCGCCATCGTTAAACAGCGATGCCTTTGAATCCCAGCCGGGACTGGAGTCCCGACGCAACACATGGCTTTTATAAAAATCTCCGGATTACCTCGCTATCAAAGGCTCCTGAAGCCCTTGTAGGGGGAATTTACAGGCGCCCACCTCCGGCTCCCCAGCCTGGGGCTGGCCCCGAGAGGAATCGAGCTGCCGGATTTGGGAGCTGAGAAGGGAAAAAAGAGAAAAAAAAGGGGAGTTGTGTGTTTTTTTTTTTTTTTTGGTTTTTTTTTTCCAGGCAGGCTTTGGCCGGTGGGTATTTCACGGCCAATTTCAGCACTCGCCACGTGATCCCGCCTTTTATAACAAAGTTTTGTTGGGGAAAACCTAAAGGCCCTTCATAAACCTTATATGCTTATAAAACAGCATATAAAAATTTAACAGCGGTGCTGCGCTAGATTTCCAACTCCCCTTTCATAAAGCGCAGGACGCTGCCTTTTATACGTACTGGAGCCGCCGGCCTTGTCCTCAGTGTGGCCGGAAGACGACTCGGGGCTGCTGCTGCTCTCGGGGCGCCGCCGCCGCTCCTTCTCCTCCACCGCCGCCGCCGCCGCCGCCGCCGCCGCCGCCTCCCGGCAGCCGCCGCCGTCCGAACTTGAAGTTGCCGGCGCGCCCGTGGCCGCCGCCGCCGCCGCCGCCGCGGAAGTTGCCGTGGCCGCTGGGGGCCCTTTCTCAGCGCTCTTGTCCCCGGGGTAGTCCGAGGAGGCGAGGTTTTCCGGGGTGCCGTAGGCCGTCTCGAAAAACTGGTCGAAAGCCTGTGGCAGGACGCCGTTCCTGCCCACCGTGCTATAGAAATTGGACGAGACGGCGGGGGTGGGGTGGTGGTAGACGTTGGCCGAGCTCTTGGCCAGCACGTCGCCAGGCACGCCGGCCGCGCTGGGCGCCTGCAGGCAGTCTCTGTGCACGAGCTCCTCCGCAGAGTAGCAGTGGGCCAGATTGCCGCGGGGGTGCCATTTAGTGGCGGGCTCAATGGCGTACTCTCTGAAGGTCACTTCGCGCACGGGTTGGACCTGGGGCAGGTTGGAGGAGTAGGAGTATGTCATTGGGCGCGAAGACGGGGTCTGGGGCAGAAAAGAAGGGAGGCTGGAGAAATCTGGACCCGAGACGTAGTAAGTACAACTTGGCAAATACATGTTAGAGGAGCAGGGACCACGCTCATCAAAATCCATCATTGGGCTACCTTGGGCTCTCCGCAGTAGCCGAGCTTAACATGATTCTCCACTGCAGCTGCCTCTTTGAAGCGGATCCGTGAAGTAGAAATTTGGAGACGTAAGCTGACGTGGAAATCTATCCCCATCCTTAGCAGGGAGGTGCTGGTCATGTGACCCGATGTTGAAATTGACAAGCTGCGAGCTAGTCCCGGCTTTTTTTTTTTTTTCCCCCTTTCCTTTTTTTTCCCCTCCCCTCCCTCCTCGGCTTCCTTTCTTTGTAGCCACCTCAGGGGAAGCAACAGATCGTCACTCGGTGTTCTCACCGAAAGCACGTAATCGCCGGTGTAACTCATGTTGGCTGGGGGGCCTCCCGGCGCGCGGTGAGGCTGGGGTGCGCCCCCATGCAGCTTGCTTTTGCTCAGCTGCACGATCCTGGCCCTCGAGTGCGCCGAGGGCGGTGAGAGACCTCAACTTCCGACGCCTCCCCCCCACTCCCTCGGTGGGTGAGGGATGCTGTGGGCTGGGGGTGGCCAGATGGAAGCCCTGAATGGTGTGGCCCGTGGTCTCGGAGTCTGTTCTTCTGAAGGCTTATGGGCGCACCTTCTTTGCAACCCCCTCCCACAGGCATGCTCTGGGATACACCTCCGTCTCAGACCCTGGCCGGACCCCATTTGGGGCCAGGGTTCGCAGCCGTGGATGTGCTGGCCTCGTGGCTTATCCGATTTGCACGGTGACTTGATTACACGCTAGCATTCAGGTCACTTCCGAAGCGCCTTAGTGCCTTCCGTCCCTAAATCGCCAACAGTCAGGGCGGCTTCCCCCGCGGTTTGTCAAAGATCCGCGGGGTCCGGAAGGGCCTTCGTCTTACCCGGGATTCACCTTCCCTGCATTCTCTCTGCTTCCCTCTTCACCCCATCTCCTGTCCTTGGAGAAACCCCCCCTCTCTTCGCTGCCTGCAGGGAGGGTTCTGAGTGACTCTGCAGAGCCGGAGGCTCATGGGCTGCGCCTCTGCTCACGGGTCCGCACTTCTGCCTGGTCTTCAGGAGCTGAGGAATCGGGAAACCATGCAATTGAGGCGAGCCTTGTGCTGTTTTAGAGGCGCTGACATCCGAGGAGACTTCTCCTGGGTATGCTGCACCTTCGGTGGGGGGCGGCCACCAGGTTGCTTGTAGAGCTTCAGTGCTGTGGGAGAAGTGGGGGCAGTGGCAGGAGGGGGTGATGGCCAAGGAGCCCTGGCTAAGAAGGGGGTAAGCTGCTTCTTCCTTGCATGAGAGTGAAAGCGAGGGATGTGCAAGGCAGAAATTCAGACAGCTCCTGTCTTTCCTGCTACTTACTCTACAGAAAGAGCACAATGCCAAAGAACAGAGAGGTGCTTCCCAAACTCCCTGCACCTTGGGCAATGGAGATGCCTTGAAAAGGCTATGTTTGTGCTAAAGATAGGAGTCAGAGGCCATGGCTGTTGGAATGAACCTATCTTTCTTGAGAGGAGGAAATGGGGAAATTAAGAAGGTAAAATAATGCTCCACGTTCTGCAGGACTGAAGGAGCAATATTTGGGGGAAGGGGACAGAGCAGCCAGGCAGAGCCAGGAGCAGGAAGGGGGCTGGTACCTGAGGCCTCCCAACAACTCTCTTCTTAGAAGGAGCTAGGGTGTCTCAGAAGGAAAGTTAAAAAAAAAAAGAAAGAAAGAAAACCTTTTCCCTTTCCCTGTCCAGGAAATAGCCAAAGGTATTTACATATCTTGGAGAGATTTAGAGAATAAACTCTAAGATCTTTGGTATTTAAGTGTCAACATCAATTTATTTATTTATTGCTGAGCTGACTGTAACTGACTCAATAACAAATTTAATCATGTATTGCGCTGGGAAAGAAATATTCTCATTATGTATTTTCTCCAAATAATGACCCACCATTGCAATTTGAATATCCACTGTAAATATCAATAATATCGAGTAATTACTATGTAGTGGAGTAAACTAATTTATTAGCATTAATGTTTATGTGCCCCCCCCCCTTTTTACAAGGGTTACTTATCACAAATCAAGTTACTCAGACACATTGGTTTAATGAACTCTTTATTCAGGATTTGCTGCAAGAACTTTCATGCCCCTTGAATCCCTGAGAGTTGAACTTGAAATTATTTGTGCATCTTCAACTTGACATATTTGTCCACTGTGGCTTGCAGAGCAATGTGAGTGAGAAAGTCCAGTAGGAGGGAAGATTGTTCGAGAAGGGTAGCTTGAGACCTCCTAATGCTGGGACTCACAATTACAGGATTGCCCTGCAGTGAAAAACTTCTATTTCCAGCGGCGACTAACAAGGCAAAATATTTGTTTCTCCACAGTATCTCTTTCTTGGAGACAGAATATAAAAGAAAGGAGAGGTTTCAAACAGCAGTATTTGAACAGTTCCCTGGCTTGATTTTGGCTATCTCAAACACTCTCCAAGCAGCCCACCCAGTCCTCGCCACCCCTACCCTGGAACAAAAGGAATGCATGAAGGGTTTCAGTGACTTTGCCATAACAAAGGCGCCACCATTGCAGGGCTCGCCCCGCCCCTGGGTGAAGGCAAACAAATTCTTGCACTTGTATTAGGGCTTTTAAGACCATAATTGAACCCGGGGCGTCTAGGAGAACCGAAAACAGTTCTAGACAGACCTGCGGTTTTATAGCACTTTTGGCAGTCAACTTCAGCTTGTGCCTGAGCAGTGGGGCCCGAGGTGGCCCGCCTGCGGGGGACGCCAGGCTGCCTCCCCCGGCTACACGCAGCCCCTCTTAATTAGATCGGCTTCCCTTGGTGCCAGGGAGAGGGGTCCCCGCAGAAAGGTCGGTGTGAGGTTGTGCGGCGTTCTGCATAACCATTGCTTCTTGCGTTCTCCTTCAGGGAAAAGCCGAGTGTGTGTGTCGGCAGGTCTGGATCCCATGGGTGTCTGCAGGAGACAGGCAAACTCCCCGAGGAGAGGCTGGGGTGGAGGAAGACACTCCAGGAGTGTTTGGCAGTACATGTGGAACAGGCTATACCAAAGCCCGGTACCCAGAGGGACTTGAAGCCTGGAAAGGGGCGTGTGGGGGCGCTGCAGTGAAGATGAATGAGAAGAAGGCTTTTGATGCCTGCAGAAGGGGAAACTGCCTGGAGCTGCCGAATGCTTTTAGTTCCCCAGTAGGGACAAGAGGCGGGGTGCTCAGCTCCCCAAGGCTGCGCTGTATTACCAGTTTTGCCCCGCTCCTGCTTGTTTTTCCGGAGTATATATATATTTTCCTGCGAATGTTTTCTCAGGGCAGGCAGGCGGTAGGGGTAAAGGGTAGGCGCTTCTCAGATTCAGACCAAATCTTGGGGAGGAAGGGGAGGTAGAGCTTCGGGTCCTTGGTTTTGACTTTGCTCTGAGCCTAATTGACTCTTCGACTTTGCAGGAGGCTCAAAGCAGATCTCTGCCCACTAGACTCTGGGAAAGACCCGACTGGGGCCAAGGCCACCCCGGAAGGCCAAGTCCGAGTTCCATTTCTTGAAGACGCTGCGGCGGGGCAAGTCTGTGACATTGGCCCTGGCGGCTGTTTTCCCAGGAGCTGTTCTTTCTCAAGCGCTCCTCAGCGCGGGGGCCATCTCCAGAAAACACTTTTCAGCGTATGTTTCCTTTAATCGTCAACCCGGAGTCCCACGGCGGCTAATGCAAGAGGCCAAAAAATGTTTGGAGGAAGAAAAACAAAGGCAGGAAGTGGCGGCGGCCTGACGGTGCGTGTGTCTGTAAAGAAGGGAGGGAACCGGTTCAATCTTTTCTTGTTTTTTCGAACTTCAAGGTCTAGGCAGTCGTCCGCAGAGCCGGCCAGTGGCTCCCGCAGCAGCGTTTCTAGGTGGTCACCCGGAGAGAAGGCCGGCGCCCGCGCCAACCTTGTCAGGCGGAAACGGCTAACAAGGAGATTTGGTCTGCAAAACAGACCAAGCCTTGGGAAGCCTTCCCAAGGCTTGGTCTGATTTGGCCCTAAAGGTTGGGGGCGGGGGTGCACAGCGCCGCCCGTTCCCTCTTCCGAGGGCTGAGTGCGCCTGGGCAGGGATCGTGATTCTTGCACCCTGTGCTCCACCCGTCTGCCCTTCCCAGGCAGAATATCAGAATAAAGTGTGTCCAGGCGCCTCTGCCGAATCCGCTTCTTCTTGCAGTTGGAAACGTCTGCGTAGCGGCGGGAGGGCGCCGGCCAGGCGATGCCCAGGCAGGGTGGCCTAGGAGAGTTCATTGCGCAGGAGGCAATGTGAGGCCTCGTCACCACCCCGATTGCTGTGCCAGGGCCGTTTCCAACACAGTCATTCAAGGGACATGATCGGCAAGGACCGACACTTAATAGGCAGCTTAATGCTTTCACTCCGAAGCTGGATAGAGCTGACGTGCGGTGAGCACCTCCAGACTCCAGGCTTCCTAACCCCGACTGCTGTGTTGCCCTCTCTTTCCTGGGGGTTGTCTTGGGATGCAGCAGCTGCTCCTTGTCCCCCAAATCTGGATATCTGAAGTCCCCGGTGCCTGCACTCTTAGCCCTTTGAATATTCAGCATGCGGTCCATAGTGTGAATGCCAAACCTATCTGCCGGACTGGTCCTTCTCAAGCCTGTCCAGTCCGCCTACAGCTCCTGCCAGCCTGTTTCCCCTTCTTAGGCCTCTTCTGGTGTATCTCCTAGGCTGAGCAAGAGCTGAGGTGCCTTTGGAGGGCACCTAGTACCCAGGCATGAAGAAAGGGGCTTATTAGATTTTGGATGCTCCCCCATTTTGGGCCTCCACCAGCAACCAGAACTGGGTGTCTTACTTTCTTTAGAATACTCCATCCTAAGCCCCATGATGTCCACCTTCTCTTTTCCTTTCCCTCACCAACATTTCTTCCTTCTCTTCCAGGGACGCTGCTCCTACTTTACTAGCCTGAGCAGCTAGCCTGGGACTTGGGTTGGATCCACTCATAAGACTCTCACTCCCAACTGTCTACAGTTGTTGCTCAGTGCATTGCTTAGGGCACCATCAATATTTTACCTCTTCTTGCTGGCATGAACCCTTACTTTCCAAAAGATTGCACTGTTTTTAGAAGACTATTGCTACCCTGGTGGGCATATTGCACAC